TAAAGCCAATGATTGGTCTCTCCTTGTCCAGAGCAAAGCAGAATGAAGAAAACCAAAGACACATGGAAAGAGTTAGTGCGAGGAGTGGTAGACCATACAAACCTGAGTCTACATGCTCCTGAGATCAGAAGAAGTAAATGGTGCTTGGCTACCACTGTTAACCCCTTGGAAAGGGATTAAAATAGGAGAACCTGGATGGAGTGGGAGAAAAATGTGTAACAAAACTCAAAATCATAAAAAGAGACTAGGTTTACTGGTCTGATAGAGACTGGTAAAACTCCCAAGACTATGGCCCCTAGTCATCCTTTGGGCCTAGAATTGGACTCACTCCTGTGGCTTCCAACCGAACAATGTTGTTATTGTTACTTTGAGTTGCACCCAACTCATAGTGACCCCTCCTTGAGTTTCCGAGGTGGTATCACTATGGAAGCAGATTGCCCAACCTTCCTTCTGAGGAGTGGCTGATGAGTTTGAACCACCAGCCTTCTGGTTAGCAGTCAAGTGACTTAGGCACTATGCTACCAGAGCTCCCAACCAAACAATAGGCAGGCATAAAAGGTGATCATTTACACCAGGTAGGTGCATTTCTTAGAATGATCAACCATGGGATATCAGAAAGGCAGTGTTTGCACAGGGAGACAACTCAGAGGGCAAGAATGCAAAGAAAGAAAGACACAGGGGAAAAATAACCACAGGGAGGAACTGGGAAAAAAGTGTTGTATTGTGGGAATTGTAATCGATGTCATGAAGCAAGATATGTATGAACATTGTATAGAAAATGAATTTGCTTTATGATCTTTCATCCAAATAACAATTAAAAAAAAGAAAAGAAAATACAAAGAACTTAGGTCAAAATTCAGTGATTGGTTGACAATTAGGTATTGGGTACAGAAATTTCAGAAAAAAAAAAAAGCAGTGATTGGTTGACATTTAAGCAATAGTTACAAAATTGAATGAGGGTTCATCTGATTGGTAGGAGATTACATACATTTCTAAATGTTTTTTTTTTTTTTTTTAAGAAGACTATGCAGAAGCTCTGTTTGTTCATTGAACTGTAGTTCTGAAGGAGGCAATGCGTCACTTAGAGCTGGATGCCCTTTTCTTATCCATAATTTTTATTGAAGTTGTTATAATGTGAGTCAGAATAATATTATGGTGGTGTAGTGACTAAGGCATTTGACTGCTAAGCAGAAGGCTAGCAGTTCAAACCCACCAGCCACTCCTTGGAAAGAAGGTTTTGGGCAATCTATTTCTGTAGTGATACCACCTCAGAAACCCAAGGTGGGGTTGCTATGAGTCAGGTCCAACTCCATGGCAATGTGTTTGGTTTCGGTTTATGATGACAAGCTATGGATTATTTTATTTTCTAAAGAAGCAAACATATTTGGTTTATTAAGTATATCATTGCAGTGAATTGCTGGATGTGACCCTTCTAGCCATTGTCCTCCATTCTGTGATGTACTGTAAATCCTATTATCCATGCCTGTTTTGGGGTGGTGCTGGGCAGCTGATAGTAGTCATTCCCTATAATGACTGGCAATCCACTCTGTGATGGGATTTGCTTTGACCTGCTAATTGTTAAAGCCATCCACTTAGGTTATTTCTGTTGGGGCAACACAGGTGGAATGTATCTTGAGTCCTGCCTTGCTGGAAGGTATAATTCAAATCACCACCCTTAGCTTCCTTGAGGGTATAATTATGAATCTCCTGGGAAGGTTTGCCCTTGCCTTGCTCTGGTTTTGTGTTTTGGCTCATCCTCATCTCACCCCTGGATTTGAGACAGCAGCCATCATCTGATCTGCTGATCAAGGTTCATCAAACCCTGAGAATTGGGAGGATCCTCCAGACCCACTCACGGACCTGGGACTTACCAGCCTGCCAGCCTCCACCACTACTACATGAGATGATCCCTTGTGTGTCTGTGAGTTCTGTGGGACATCACAATGAAACACAGAACCCTAAGATGGTGAAATTACTGGGAGGAGGAGGAGGAGGAGGAATTAATATCTGAAATGATGGAGTGGTACGGTAGTTTGGACATTTGGGATATCTTTAACTTCCACCTCATGGGGACCGGCCTTGTGCTGATCTTTCTGAGAGAAATTGTTCAAGCACTCATTAAACCAAAAAGCCCGTAACTACTGAGTTGATTCCAATTCATGACTATCCCATACGGAACAGAACAGCACTGCTGTAGAGGGCTTTGGCTGTCATCTTCATAAAATCAGATCATCAGGTTTTACTTCCATGGTGCTGCTGAGTGAGAACAAACGGCCGATCTTTACCTTAGTTGTCAGGCTCAAACCGTTTGTACCATCAAGGTAAATTTACCTTCAGTATATCATTAAAATCTCAGAATTCATTAAGATTTTCTCATATTCAATAATACAATACTCAGTTGAGCAAAAAATTTCTATAAATGGGTAATATATTAAAAGAAACGAATGATGAAAATAACAAGAAAAAAACAAATGTATTGCTGGTTGCAAGGCATGGTAAAGTCAGCATACTTTGTTCGTTTACTCAGATCTGTTTTTCTGAATTAAAAGGCTTTCCAATTTAGTATAATGGGTGAAATCATGGGCTCTGGGTGAGACCACCAGGCAGAGAATACTGGTTCTGCCACCTATGTGACTGAGTATTCTTGAAGCAACAAAAGTTGTTATACTACATGCTTAGATGCATCTCATCCATGTCTTCATATATCTTCTAAAACAAACAAAAAATAAAAAATTTAAAAATCCTTTAACACTTTTGAAAAATTTAATCTAGGGCCTTTTTTTTTTCTTTTTGGTTGTTTTCAAGGCTTTATACACTTTTCTCTTCATTTTTTAAAGATTAAGTTGATATCAGTCTCCGAAATCTTTAAAAAATGAAGAGAAAAGTGTATAAAGCCTTGAAAACAACCAAAAAAAAAAAAAAAGGCCCTAGATTAAATTTTTCAAAAGTGTTAAAGGATTTTTAAATTTTTTATTTTTTGTTTGTTTTAGAAGATATATGAAGACATGGATGAGATGCATCTAAGCATGTAGTATAACAACTTTTGGAATATTTTCCCATGTCTTAGGCCCAGCTAGAATTCATCCTGGCATGGACAGGGAGGGTGATGAGAGTAACTAGGAAAATTTTATTCTAAATTTCAAAACAGATAATTTAAACCCATTTGTTATGGATTATTTTTACTTGACCATCTAGAGCAACCAGAATTGCCATGCATGATAGATTTTGGGGAAAGAAATAAAACTAGTATATAAAATAAAAATAAATTGATGAGGATAAAAGTTATGAGGCGTTATAAAAGCATTTCTTATATTAGGTTATAACAGGAAATAACATCACATCCAGGACAATGATTTATCTGCTGTGGATTCTCTTTTCTAAACTGGCTTATTTAGAATTTCTAGGCTGTGCTCTAGGACATATTCTTTTCTACTATATCCTTATAATAATTATGAATGTTAGGTAAGAGATTTATATATCAGAAAGTAAAGTTTATGAAGGCCAAATAATTTGTCTAATGTCATATGGCCTTTAATTAGAAAATTTAGGTCATGTATTTATGCTTATTATTCTTAAATCAAGATTATTAGCACAAATGGACTCTCATCATATCTAAGCCCATTGTTTCATTCTGGTGGCATAATGCCTAAAGCATTTGAACCCACCAGCCACTCCTCAGAAGGAAGATTGTGTGATCTACTTCCGTAGAGATACCCCCTCGGAAATCCAAGGAGGGGTCGCTATGAGTCAAATCAACTCAATGGCAGTGAGTTTTTTTAGTTTAAGCATTGGCAGTGAGTTTTTTTAGTTTAAGCATTCAAGTGTCCTTTATCAGTGCTTCTCAAAGTAGCTGTTCCACAATGAGAAGGGGAGTCTATGTTAGAATATAAATCAACACACTACTTCCTTCTTCAAAGTGCTCATATATAATTATAGACATAGATTAGATATATAGTATACATATACATTTGTATATACATATATATTCATACATATATATATATGTATATTCAATGGAATAAAATTGTATGTTTAATGATAAAGAGTAGGTTTTAGAAAACTAAGGACCCCTGGGCAGTTACCTATTTTTGTAAGCAAAGTTTTACTGGAACTCTGCCATGTCCTTTAACACTGTAAGTCACTAGAGTTGCTGCAGAGGCAGTAACCCCCAAAATTTTAAATATTGTATTATTTGTGCTTCAAAAGAAAGTTTGTTTCTTTTCTCAGACGTTCCTCCATTCAGTTGTGTAGCGAGAGGCCTAGAGATCATTTTGCCCCTCATGCATGTCCTGAAGTGGAGACCAGGTGGGGGGATTTTGCCAGAGGTGTAAACACCTACATAAAACTTTGAAACCCGAGTTTTCCCAGTGGACAAGGGTTGTAGTTCCTCACAGGACAAGGAAGAAGGCTGAAATTTTATCATCCTTTTTGCTGTTGTTGTTTACCATCCTACAAGGCTAAATACCTGCTTTAAAGTTTCTCTAGGGGCAGCATAAGGACTTTCACTAACTTGGAAGAATGATCAGAGTGGGCCTGAATGTGAATGGATTCATAATCTCTTATAATCAGAGTTACTTACGTTGCTTTGAAGACTCACACACGCAACAGAGGAACATTTCATTCTTTCCTAATTTTCTCATTTTCCCTAGGAAACTAACCAATTTCATTTTACATTCTAAAAATATAAATTCCACATATGCCAGTCACTCTTAACAATTTCAGATTAATTAATAACTAGAAGAAAACCAATTAGTCTCTTCAGAGAAAAAGATTTTAAGAGTTTGGCGGTTTCTATGGCAGCAAATGCAGTAGAAGAAAGTTTTCAGAATAATTATCCACAATTTTGTTTTTCACTGAATAGAGTAGTTACTAAATTAGATTGGTATAAATATTTGAATTTTAAATCACATGATATGCATGTCATAAAAATATAGAAACATATGTTTTCCAAATTTATTCCTTGTATAAAACTATAAACAAGAAATTCCCAGTAAACTTACATGTCTCTGGGATCCATCATATTCACATCTCTCAATTTTTCCTAGGCTGCCATCTGAGAAATACAGCTTCTCAGCACGGTGGTCGATGGTGAGTCCACTTGGAGTAAGAATGTCTGTACTGACTACTACTTGAGCATTTTTTCCAGTCAAGGTAGATCTCATGATACTTGGATGCTGTTCATTCCAGTTGGTCCAAAACATTAAACTAATTAAAAATAAAACAGTAATAAGAAATTAAGTTTTCACTTATTGTAAAAAACATTGGTAGAAACATGGCAATGCTAAACTGTCAAAATGAAGCAAAATTGCCTCAGAGGCTGTGACCCTTAAAAAGTCTAAGTACCAAAGGAAGATATACCTTTTTTTTTTTTTTTTTAACATGTATAGCTTCCTCATGTTCTTAAATAAAAACTGGAAGCTATTTCTATGGAAAAAAAAAAAAAATCCTGTGCCTTCTCTCAGATAACAATTTAATTAAATTAAGCCAGTTAGTTGCTTAACAATGATTTATTTTAATCAGGGACAAAATAACTATCTTAAATTTGTTGTGAGTTGCAAATATACTCTAACATTAACACTGCTTTCAGCAGATCCAATGTGGTCATTTTGAACAACCTTATTATTCTAGTTATATTTCTTTTTTCAATTCAGTGAAATTCAAAATTTCCTCCTATTTCCAGGTTTGCTTTATAAATTCTGAATTCTCATTTCTATAAGTTTTACACTGGTCTGTCAGTTTGTCATACTCTGGTGGCTTGCATGTTGCTGTGAGGCTGGAGGCTATGCCACTCGTATTTCAAGTACAAGCAGGGGCACCCATAGTGGACAGGTTTCAGAGGAGCTTCCAGGCAAAGACAGATTGGGAAGAAGGACAGAGTCATCCACTTCTGATAAAACTGGTCATGAAAACCTTACACACAGCAGTGAAACACTTTCTGATACATTACTGGAAAAACTATATGAATAGCCATTGTTTGATGAGCCCTTAAGGTTGGGAGTCACTCAAACTATGACTGGGGAAGAACTACTTCTTCAAAGTAGAGTCAACCTTAATGACATGGATGGAGTAAAGCTTACAAGACCTATATTTGCTGATGAGGCACAACTCAAAATGGAAATAAACAGCTGCAAACATGCAATAATAATAGGAACATGACATACATGAAGTATAAATCTAAGAAAAACAGAAGTTGTCAAAAATGAAGTGGAATGCATTGTGATCCCTATCCTAGGCATTAGTGAGCTGAAATGAGCTGATATTGCCATTCTAAATCAGACAACAAAATGATCTACTGTGCCTGGAATGACAAACTGAAGAGGAATGACATTGCATTCATCAGCAAAAAGAACAACTCAAGATCTTTCCTAAAGTACAATGCTGTCAATGAAAGGATAATATCCATACACCTACAAGGAACACCAGTTAATGCTATTATTATTCAAAATTACTCAGCAATGACTAGAGCCAAAGATGAAGAAATTGAAGATTTTTACCAACTTCTGGAGTCTGAAATTGATAAAACATGCAATCCAGAGGTAATATTACTGGTGACTAGAATGTGAAAGTTGGAAACAAAGAAGAATCATCAGTAGTTGGAAAATATGGCATTGGTGATAGATGATGTCAGAGATGACATGATAGAATTTTGCAAAACCAGAGACTTAGCTGTTGCAGATATCTTTTTTTTCAACAACATAAACAGCACATATACACATGGACTACAGATGGAATGCACAGAAATCAGATGAACTACATAGTGCAAAGAGGCAATGGAGAAGCTCAAAGCCAGGAGCTGATTGTGGAACAGACCATCAACTGCTCACGTGCAAGTTCAAAATGAAGATACAAGAATTAAAATAAGTCCACAAGAGCTGAAATATGACCTTGATTTTATACCACTGAATTTAGGGACTATCTGAAGAATAGATTTGATGCACTGAACACCAATGTCCAAAGACCAGACAAGTTGTGGGATGGTATCAGGAACATCATACTTGAAGAAAGCAAATGGTCATTAAAAAGACAGCAAAGGAAGAAAAGATCAAATTGGATGTCAGATGACACTTTGAAACTTGTTCTTGAATATGGAGTAACTAAAATAAATGAAAGAAATGCTGAAATAAAAGGACTGAACAGAATATTCCAAAGGAATTCCAAAGCTCGAGAAAACAAAGTGAAATATTATAATGAAATGTGCAGTGACCTGGAGTTAGAAAACCAAAAGGGAAGAACACACTCGGTATTTCTCAAACTGAAAGAGTTGAAGAAAAATCCAAGCCTCAAGTTGCAATATTGAAGGATTCTATGAGCAAAATATTTAATGATGCAGGAAGCATCAAAAGAAGGTAAAAGGAATATACAGTCACTGTATCAAGAAGATTTTGGTCAATGTCCAACAAGTTCAGGAGATAGCATATGATCAAGAACCAACAGTATAGAAGGGTGAAGTCCAAGCTTCACTGAGGGAATTGGCAAAAAACAAGGGTCCAAGAAATGACAGAATACTCAGTGAGTTTCAACAAACTGATGCAGAGCTGAAGGTACTTACTCATTTATGCCAAGAAATTTGGGAAACAGGTAGGTAGCCAACTGCATTGTAGTATATTACTTAATATGGCTTTTCTACCCATAAGTCATTGTAAACTCAGTGGTGGAGTGAGCAACTGAGGAGAGAGGTGGTGGGTGCTTTGTGAGGAACGGTTGGAGAAAGGGCTGGAGGGAGGCAGCATGTCTGG